ATTAATTTGCTACAAATCTGAAACAGAGAGGAAGTCCGAGCATTTGGTGAGGAATTGAGCTCGATATCTTTCGTATCTTGCACTCTAATTTAGTGTTTGTCGTGACGAGATGAATAACATCTTCCCTTATTGTTCTACCGACCTCTTTATTCACTGTCCTCCTAAAAGTATTCAAACACATTTGAATAGATGAGAAACTTATGTTTCCTTGCAGCAGTGTGCTCTTATACGAGACTGGTATTTTGTTTGTTCGTCGAGCAATATTAAAGCAAACGATGTAGATTTACTCGAGTATATTTATTTTTTCAGAGTTGTCCCTCTTCTTTAGATTATAACCAGTTTTTCAGCTTCATCTTCTGAACATTCATTATACCGATAAATCTTCACATTAAGAGATAATTCATTCTGAGTCAAGACGCAAACCATTTTTTCATGAAATTCTTGAAGAATATGGCTACATTCACTCACGAACTACTGATCAATATTCAAAAGCTTTCTAAGCAAGTTGAGGTACTTTCACTTTTACTTTATGCGAGTCTGAATTTGTTCGAAGTACACCATTCTCATTTTACGACAGCTTTAGTTATTGAAAGATTTGTTCCATGATGTTTACAAGATGTCTACCACGTTTGAACTCAATATGTGAGCCATGAACTTCTAGCTCACTGGTAACTAATCGGAATAAAGTTCTACCAAGAGATTATGAACAATTTATACTCCCTTGGTTCTACTAAAGACAACAAAACAATAAAAATGTGGCAAAGGGAAACACTCTTTTCACATTTTCGCAGGACGGAAGGCTATCATTAAAGCAGGTTTAGAAAATTTTCGCAATTCATATGCTGCTACCAAAGACCTAGATGGGTTCAGAGAAAAATCATGTAAGTCTAGATTTTGGATGCAATCGATGATTTTGGCAACTTCACCCGTTTGATTCAACTGCATGTTAGTCGAAGTTGTCATTTGTTTCAGTATTAACCGTAGTTTACTATTTTATTGAATGCCAAAAATTCGTAGCATGATTCATAATTTTACATAAGTTAATAAGGTGTAAGTGAAAGATTACTTTTAAATCTATTTTTTTATGGTAATAGTGATTTGAAAAAACTAAAAACACGAAAGAGTGTGTGGCTGGATATCTGAATGAACTAATTACATCTGGCTTAGTAGAGACTATGTGTTCTCCTTTGATATATGAAAATTCTTGCGCGTAATTTCACTCTCTTTTTTAACCTACTTCATTTTTTTGTCTTATTAATTTGGCATAAATAATGCACCATTTCATTATAATTATTGATATTACTTTAGAGTGAATTAGCAGACAATTAAAGTCACACCAAACAGACGCGTCGTCCGACTATATCCTTCACGCATAACGGACCTGCAATCGTGGACTCAACGATGGAGTCTGCCAATCATATTCACATTCGTTGATTTTAAAATACCTTTTCGGAAGGATAAACCGATCCTCTAGCTGTATCAAGTAAAAGTTGCTTATGAGCTTCTTTGATATAATAACTATGTAATTTGAAACTAAGAATTATAATTCCCTTGAAGTTAAGTAAAATAAAAATATTCCATTGCCTTTTGAGAAAAAAAATCATCTTTTGATTTTACAAGCCATGTAATCACTGAAATTTCAAAATAAAAACTTCTAAGTTGATGAGACATCGTAGACACTATGAAAATAAAGATCATGATCACAGCTTCGATCTTAGTATTACGACAAAAACTTGGTCTGAAAAGTGCGGGTTTCGTTGGCCGTGTTTAATATCTTTTGTTGTTCTTTATTTGAAATCATCCTCGCTCCTTCTTTCTGGACTTATTATCATGAATTATTTCATCAAAGGGTCAGTTTTAAAGCTTGGAATCTATGATTTTTACAAGATAACGTGTAGTGCTTAAGTTTGACATCAGTTCCACCTGCTATATTATCTAATATGACCCACACTGAATTCAAGATTACGTACGAACATGTCAAAGTCAAGAGTTTTTTTTTTTTTCTTTCTTTTTGGCAATCAGTTTCAGTGGGTGGCTAAGACTAGTTTTCACGTGGTAGAATTTGACATGAAGAGCGTCAGAGGTAGACGAAAAAAGTTCAGAATGCATATCTCGAGAAGAGAAGGCGTGGTGATCAAACATCAATAACAACATTTGCGTTTGCTGTCTTTGTTCTATGGACGATAAATAAGTTGGATACTTTACTGCAGATTTAGCTAATATTTATTCTTTACATGCTGAAACAATTTCTATTGAAAAATTACCGAGAAAAAATTAAAACAGCCAATTAGAAAATAGAGTAATAAAATCCCCTTCTACCTATAAAACGGCCCCAACCTAAAGAAAGTATAGAAAATCGGGAGACAGGGGCCCTAAATATTGTGAATTTTCAAAATTAATTTTTTTTCTTCAATATTTTCAACTTATTGCTCTCTTAATCAGTCATTTGCTGTATTGTGTTTATCTATTCTATTCACAAAAATTAATGTTATTTCCAATTACACTTAATTTAAAGTTAAAAATATCTCAACACTGAATGCTTGCCTAATTAAGGTGTTCTTTCGGGAGTTATTGTGGTACTTATCCAATTCCCTCAGGCTGTTCCCATCCCTCCCATTTTATCAGGCCCCATTCCGTACGGTTTCAAAGGGCAGACATGGATCGACTTACATTAACAACAGGTAGCATTTCTACGGCGGCACTAAGAGATCTAAGCAAAATCACCTCTCTCTAATTTTGTGCTCTCGACCAATTCGTTCAGTTATCTGACTTACTGTTTATCTCATCTTGTTGATGACAAATATTGATTAGATTAAACCCAAAATGCACTAATCTACTGGTTACGTAACGAAGCACTATCAAGTGACATACCAAGAAGAAGGTATAATTCACCAGATACTTTTTTGTTGTACTTTGGAATATTTATGTCAAGGGATATTGGGATATTTCATGCATAGCTACTTTGTGCAATATTTCTATGTTGACAGAAACGGTTTTCACCCTTAACCTGCAAACCGCTGTTGAAGTAAATGTGTTTTTTTAATTCTGTTAGCATAAAAATGAATGACTTTAGTGAGTGACAAACAAACTCACGTACGTGCATTAAATGTTTTGTTGTTCAAATATTCCTTTCATACATGCGGCTATATTTATATATGTTTTCAAAATTTATTTAGATATCTTCTGAGGTAGGCGGCTTGCTTCACGAGGTCTCTTATTAACAAACAGACCTCATGCTGAGAGAGACTTGACCGAATTTAAAACTCAAACATTCAAAGTGCACTTTTATTACTTACTGTAAGCTAATAAAGATATTTACCTTGTATTTCAAGAAATTTAGGAAAATAGTTTCCTAAATTTTGGTTCCCTTATCCAGTGAATAGGACAGTTGAATTCAAGACGCGCTTTCTTCGTTGAATAACTAGCCCCCCCAATGAGAAAGGCTTTACCCTTCTAACTGCCAAGGCCGGCATTTACAGACCTTTGGACTCTGAGCAAAGAGTAAATAATGAAGATATATTGTATAATTAGAAGCTAGAAAAAAAATTGCCATACTTTTCATTAAAGTGCTGTTTTCCAAAGTGGATTTTAGTTTTTATAAATCATCCTTATTAACGGTTTTAAATCATAGATAGAACACGTTCGTCTTTCACAATTGGTTGGTTTCTGCCCTCCAGCGGTTTAAATTTCATAGTTATTCCATTTTGAAAGATATATGATCGATGACTTTGATAAGCATATTTCGCTCGCGGACATCTATTATACCATTTTTGCTACAAAACACATATCTTTTGTGGCGTGTTGTTCTGTTAATCAGAACCGGAAATTCATAATTGCAAAGTAAAGAGTGACTGTTTAGAAAATAGCACTTGTTACATGGACTTCAAATGATCATTTAGCTTCTGCAATGAGCTCAGCTGCGCTGAAGTGGATTCGCGTACCTTACAAGACACAGCGCGGTCGCTTTGCATCATAAATTCTCTCAAACTAAAAAGATGGATTAAAAATGTCAATTACAAGTTTGCATCGTCTCTGAGCTTGGAATGACCTCATTTTTGCACGATTCGACGATTAATACCTCTCAGAGGACCACCTTTTAGAAACATACGTGATTAAGAAAATTCGCGTGCAGGAGCGAAAAAGTTTGCGGTGTCGGCGAAAACGGTTCAGAAATCAACAACAATAGAATAACACAACGATAAACCACAAGTCCCTGATAATTAAATTCTAAACATGTAAGTGCTGAACATTCTTTTTCTGATAAAAGTTTTCAAAGAACACGACAGCTGTGGCAAGAATGAGACAAAAATGGAAATTACTTCAAATTTAACGGTTCTTTTTATATTGATCATCTGTCGATACTAATAACGTCATCTAAAAAAATTTGAAGCTAATATTTTAAATAAGTTTTTGAAATTCTTATGATCCTTGCATCCTCATTTATTTCACTGGTATCTTCTGATAAAAGGTTTCAAGAGTAATAGAAGTGTTAACATTACCTAAAATCGAGTTTCCTGTGGTTGCTTATATTCTACACCCCCTTGTGAGAAAATATTGTCTTGCGTCTCAGCCTACGAAACTTCATTCCATTACATGGAGAGCGTGGTAAAATTTAATTATATCGATCTTAATTTAATCAAGAGTAATCTCGATTATGTCAAAAACCTTTTGTCTCTCTAAAATATGGTCATCAACGAAAGAAGAAATATTTCTGAGTAACTGAAATCTTTAGTGTTCTCTGGCAGTCTTTATAATTGTTTCACAATTTTATCGACTGTTAGAATTGTTTCACAAAAAATTGTTCTGCTATGATCAAATTTACTTTTGTGATTTGCTGTTTGTCGGACCTTCTGTAACATCTAGAGGTCCAATCATCGAGAATGTTCGGAAGATGGAACAATTTTTTTTAGATCTAAATATTATAGATATATATTACTCTTCGTGACTGACGTCATTGTCTTAACAAAGGAGCGGCAAAGAAAAAGAGATTCACTAATGATGGTATAGATTAGTTGACTTTATTTCGCTTTGATTTACGATTTATATACATTTGATATGTTCAACTAATATTCATTGGCAAATCTTTATATATAGATATGGCATATCTTTGTATTTTTACATAAGTTCTCTGCAGTCTATTTGAAAAATATTGTTAGGTTGTCAAGATTTGTAGGTTCAGAAATTAAGAAGGAATGTAAACAAAAAGCTTTGAGTTCCCAGAAGAGCTTTTGTCCAGTTGTAGTATTCCTGTGTTCTGTGTTGTCTTTGCACACCTGCATCAAAACGTTTCGTTGTAATGCCGACCCAGTGATCCATCTTAACTGATGGGGCGCATGTCTGATGTCCATGGGGTTACCACCCTTTTGTTCGAAACACAATACAGAGAGACAGTGACTAATGACTGTGCTTCCTTCATATCAAAGACAACTCGACGGAACAGCTAGATCAACTGAAAGTAACAACAGGCTGACAGCCTAAATGAAAAGAAATGATGGAATATTCTAATAAACAATGTTGCCGAGTTTTACACCGCCAAGCCTCACTCGGTTTCCCATATAGTGCACAGAAATGATCTTGATGCGTTCCATTTGGCTGGGTGGCAGATTGTGGTTCTTGTGTTATCTCGTTGTTCACGATGTGGACCTGTTAATGATCTTCCTTAGGGGCTAAGCTGGAGCGAAAATCCAAACTTGTCGACCAAAGGTATAGATTTTCTTTGTAAAGGCGCAATTTTTGTACTTGGTAGTTTTTTTTAAAGTGCCATTTCCTTTCTAATCCCTTTGGTTTTGTTCAGCTCTTTGTATGTTTTGTTTTGATAAGATTTTATCAGATGTTCACTTCAGCTTAAAATGCTCTTCAATTAGAGGGACGCTTTTGCTGCTCTGGCTATGGAAACTCAAAAAGTATTTGCCTCTGAGAAATAGTCTAGAAGAATAACATCATACTGTATTTTTTGTGATCTTTTGCACAGTTAAACCTTTATCAGTTGGAAGAGGTACCTTAAATCGATATATCTTCGTGTTAACTTATATGCTTTTTCGAGTCAAATTCATTTAGAGTTCTGATATTTTGAAGATTAAAGCGATAGGTAGTTTGGAAAATATGGAGGTGTCGCATGTTGGACAAAAATTTCTGGGGCACTTTGTTGATAGGAAGGAACACTATCTCGTAGAGACCTCTGGAAACCTTGATGAAACCCAGGGTTAAATTGAGCCGCAGGTGACTCGTTTACTCCCTGTTTTCGAATAGACTCTTTAAGTTCTCTTTTCCACTTCATTCGCCGATTTTGAAACCATATTTTAATCTGTGTTTCTGTAAGTTCCAAGTTGGATGCTATTTCAATTCGTCTTGTCCTTGTAAGATATTTGCTAAAGTGGAACTCCTTCTCCAATTCAACCAGTTGTCTTTGTGTGAAGGTGAACCTCTTCTTTTGACTCGCTGTCGTTTCTTGCTTCTTGTCAGAGCTTGCTTCCTCTTTTTCCGAGACACTTGTTACTGCAGCTGCAAGAAAAACCGAAAGAAATTCATTTTAGCACACTCGTTTACTATTCCAAATCTTGCCTTTGGGTTCTTAGGTGTCATTTTGAAAGCATTCATGCATCAAACCAAACCGCACACAATTTCAGGTGTCAAAAAGAAATTTCCATATTTCGTTATTTAGAGCTCTTCTTCGATTACCTAAAGATCTTTACAGATTACCGATCTGTTCGAATCAACCAAACGTTTTTGGATCGATTCTATCAATATTTTGTTCAATCTCTGCTTTGGTTTCACCAAGATCAGTTTGGATGGAGAAGCAAAGTTGTGTTGGAGCCGCAATGTTTAAAGTGAATTAAACTGTTTCGGATGTGGGCGATGAGACTAGAGATAACTTGACCTTTTTATGCTTGACTCAAAAATGATGAATCGACCTAGCAAGACAAAGCGGGCTAACGCGATAATTTAGGGGAGCAGTGAAGAACAAACATAAACTACAAATGAAAGGGTCGTTCTCTGAGTTTGCAAATACGAGTGCGCTCCAGAAATAATATTGCAAGTTTTCTATCGCTCTCTTTAATGTGAGTTTGTGGTTTAAGTGCTAATAAACGATTTTGACTCCGTTATTTAAAGACGTCTAGTTTAAATGAACAGGTATTAAGATGAATGCTGGTAGATCAGTGAAAAGGCTATCTCGTCTTTGTCTTGCCGCTCAAACCCGTGTCACAGGAAGAAATCTCAGAAATGCATGGAGAACACAATTAGGGTGATAGTTCTCTGATAATCGCTTCTAGTCAAACTTAAGTCCTACACAGCTAAGTTAAATATCGACAATTTATCCGTCATTCTATAAATTGCATTTAAGTGATGTATGTCAAGTTTGAAAGCACTCGTGTTCAGAATGATCGATGTGGCAAGAATTTTCAATTAGTGTTCTCGACGAAATGCCTCTGTGAGTAATGGTCTAAATCAAGGCTTTTGCAGATATCTTTGTTGACCTAAATCACTACATTTAAAAGCTATTTTCTCATTTATTTCTGTATAAACTAAAATGTTTGAGAGTCGAGTAAGAATTGTATTGTTTTGACGGAGTTTGCCAAAGGTGTTGGGAAACATGGGTGGTACAAGAAATATGATGGCAGCCATGCTGCACGAGTAGAGTAGTGTTTTGAACTTCAAATGTCAGTTTGAAACACAGCACGTATTTTCAAAAGTAAAGCCTAGCTCTCAACTTGATTTAATGTTTGCTGGCTTTCTAGCCGGCCAAAAAACACAGTAAAACTAACATAAGCTCCGAGAAATTTGCAAAGAAGCCTGCAGGTTGTTGTTCGTTTATTACACAAAACCCCCGTGAATGTTCTTTCTGAGTATCAATTTATAGAGAATCAGTTTAAAAGATTTCGATAGGATTGCTGTCGAATGACTCTATTTTACGTTGAGCTCACACTGAAAATGGGTGACTCATCCAAGAGTTCAATTAATACATTATATCGAAGCCAAAGTAATTACAAAAACTCACTAGTGTCAGTCAACCTCTTGAAAAATAAATTACCAATTTACAGCTTTTAATCGAAATATGCCGAGAAGGAGTTCCTGTTTTTGCGTAAATAAACAACCATAAGAGCAGGTGAAACTAACTAACTAACTCAATCAAACTAGATAAATTTTATTCTATTCATTTTTGGTATCGATTTTTAGAATTTTGCGTTCTTTTGAAGCGACATGAAGTTTGTAATGCCTTCCTGACGTGTACTTTGATCGATGTACATTGATTAACTCGATGAATTCTGAAATCGAGTTCATTGCTTATTTTGATTTATAGATTATATTCTGTGTCATCTTTCCAATGGAGAGCATAATGTACTACATCAACCGCTCCTCCCTGAGGGAATGGCTGTGTTCCTTACTTCAAATCTGACCTTTGTTTTCTAGAAAGGACTTAAAATTTTTGGTCCTTCAAACGGTTAATTTCGTTACAAAACTTGAATTTTTTTGAGCTGGCATGTTTATTTGAAAAAATAATCAATATGTCTGTGTGTTACCGATTCTTGTTCATTCGTAACCATATGATTAAAATATGTTAAAACAAAATACGATCTTTCTTTTCATCAAACTAAAGAGATCAATGGGGCATGGAACTTTCAAAGGTAAGGTATAATGAGCAAAGCGAATGTCGTTGTACGCTCGAAATGGTTGAAATTCGAACTTTTTAAAAATTTGCACTCTTATTGCGAGATTGGCTTCCCACAAAATCTTATGTATTTTTAAAAACAGGAATTAATTGTGAATCTGTTCGTTTTTAGTCTAAAGAAAGAGTGATGTACACCAGATTTTTATCTGTATAATTTGCGCAGCATTTAATGTGCTCGCTAGTGACTAAACATACAAACTAATATGTAATGATGTAGAAACATGGCGGTAAACTAGTTGAGTGACAACTGTAAGTATTGTATCCATTGCAAGCAGGGGTTTTACTGCATGCAAAACCATATTCGTTCTCATAATGTCCGACTTCGACACTTAAATCATCTTTTACCTTTTCTTTTCGTAAACATCCATCGAAAATTAGCAGTTTGCCAACGTTTCTTCTCCACGTTCTGCTGCCTTGAGCTGTCAGTGGAAGAGGCTGGTATTTGTGGGGAGGCAAGTGAGGAAGATGGCGCGATCGGCAGCTCTCTACTAGCCATTGGTATTGGTATGGGAGCCAGTGGATGAGAAAACGGAATGAAGCTTTGAGGCGAAGTGTCAAAGGCACCTCTACCGTGTGCTGTTGCCGGCGGATGTCGAAGTGGCATCGTACGTCCAAAATCAAGCCCGTGGTAATGCGGCATGGCGGTCGTCAAGTGTGGAGTAGGCATCCTACGGCGCCAGTCGTCCATCATATCGTCGATTTTCTACCGTACGTTCCAACTGCTGCGGCAAGTCTTGGCTGAAATTGATGAATTTGGAAATGGACCGTGATGAGTAAAACTTATAGGCTGGGGCGGGCTCTGCTCTTTGTGGTCAAATTATGGATTAATCGAATCAGCGATCGAGATTAGTACACTGGGACCAGCGCACCGTGAAAGAGCTGCGGCACTCGACGTGCAGTACTGTAGTTCACTCGGAGCAACTAGGTGGAAATCTCCCAGGGCTTCAATTAGAAGCCAGGCTTTCTACTTATCTAGGAAGTGTCTGGTGAATTTGAAAATGTCGCACTGGGGTTTCTGGGCTTACAATACGACACACGCTTCATCAGTAATTAAAATTAAATCGTATTAAGTTAATCATCGTACGACGAACAATGGATTGAAGTGAATCGTCTCTTTTTTTTTTCCAGATGGAGGAACAAAACGTTCCCACACGTTTGAATTTTTTGCCCCAGGCCTGTTTCATAATTCAACACCGTTATCACTATTTTAACATCGCTAATTTTGCGGCTTCAAAATTAAGTTTTATTCTTTCACCTCAAAAAGGTAATTCACTGGTTTGATAATTTGTAACCGTTTTTGTGTAGTGAATTATTTGAGTAGTTCTGATTATGTACCCGTTATCTAAACTGTAAGAGGACACGGAAGACCTCCTGTGTTTTGCGAGCCATTTTTCCAATACACTTTTGTGAGTACAGCAGAAAACAAACTTAGTTGTTTCTTTTTGCCGTATCGCGATCCAGCGGGTATTCCTTCATATTCATCAGTCTTCGGCTCAAAATATTGAAAGAGGTTATATATTTCATTCATCGTCGTAATTTTTCATCATTATAACCTTTTCATCTTCTGCCTTTATGTCAGCAACCAGAAAACTCCAACTCTGAATAGTTTATAAATCATCTCAATCGATTTTCTTTGTCTATGGACTTATTTTGCATTCGTCCTCACGAAGTGTTTGCCATTTTCTAGCGTAGGAAGTTTGTGTATCAATTGGGGTACTCAACCAGAAAGCGTTTTCATACGAATGAGATGTCACTGTCTTTGCCGCAGTTTACTCACTGTTGTTGAGCGTATCAACTGGTCATTGCGAACAGAGCGTAACTTCAATGAACCGTAAATATACGATTTGAATATATTTCACATTTTAATAAGACTTAGCTTCCTGCTGCGATACACAAAAGAGGTTTCTAGTCAACACAACACCCATACAGCTCCAAACAGTTTTCGACGCTACGCTCCAAGCGTAAGCGCGCCCTCCATGTCTGTAACTAAGATCTTAACTTTTACATCGTTAGTGCACGGCGGAGATTCCTTGTAAGATCTTTTTAATTACCCCGGTAATGTCTCTATTGAAATAGAATCTTACATTATGTTATTTTTAGCCCGCGGAAGAGTAAGTCTGCCATCTATGAGATCGCGCCAACTATCTGAAAAACGACCACTAATATCCCACATTCACAATTTTTTTCATTGCGGTTCCAAGATTTCTTTTTCCACTTGTGACACTTTCAAATCCTGGTGTGTAATAAATATTTTAGGCATTACAATAACCTTGACCGCTTGGCTTGGAATCGTAACTATTCAGCTATCATGCTTTCAATCGCACATGCTCAGTTCACAATTCAACGTTTTGTTTCGCCAGTCTCAAGTCTTTTTTTCTTTGAACGTTATAGGAGCGCTAAAAATTTTAGCTATGCGCCTGCCAAATGCGATTTTAAGATTCTTTTTAAAAGCATAGGTCATACGTTTGCACATAAATGGATTTTAATGTGAAATGCGGTTCAGCTTCTTTTGTGAAGTTTCATGAGGCGCTATTGTGAAAAGATCGAGTGCCAGGTGCACTGTATTCTACGGAACTAACACTCCAAAGCACAATCGATCTTTCAAAATTCAATATTTTGATTTCAGGTATTTCAATTTACCTTCTTCCTCAACGTCGGCGTTCCTGAATCAAATCAGCGTTGATCAATCACTTAAAAGAGTTTTAAAAGATCTAGAACTGCCAGTCATTAGCAAAAAAATCTACACTGATGTTGTTTTATTGGCGACCCTGTTGTGTTAGCCGCACTAATGCGGAGTAACTTTAACGATTTAGACATTTTTTGTACAAGAATTTTCACGATTTATTACGCCTAAAGAAAATATGCAACTTGTGGGACGTATGTCAGCTTAAGATGACAGAAAATAATTGCCCACCATGGAATATTTACCACCCCATAACGCCTAATTTCTTTATTTTTTCCGTTCGCAAGTAAAGCGGTCTCGATTTGTCTCTATCAGGTTATAAAATATTTGGCTTTAAAGGAAAAAAATTGTGATTACCACATACTAAATTGCACGCCGGGATTCTGATGGTAGTGTCTTCATAGCCTGTATTTAAAAACGTCATATAGCGCGCCAAACAAAGCCGGGCAGATTGTATCCTTTCAACTGTGTCCGGACTCCAAGTTTCCCGCTAAGTCTGTCTAAGGGGTCTAAAATCTTGATCCGTATTACAGATTACAAGAGGTTTATGGCAGAATATAACTTGAACATGGTACTTAAATTGACGGTTTCTGCACACGTTCCAAGCGCCGCATTTTCAATTACTCGTATGAGTCCTATCCTGAAGTAGACTTCACAGGGTTTTTCCCATAGCATCACTTGCTTTTTTGCCCAAAAGAAAGTCTTTTGTTCCACATCTCGTAGAAACAAAGGCGTGTTGAATAGTAAGCAGTTTGATAGAGAATTTTAAAGATAACTCAACTGAAATAAAATTTAATGAGTGTTATACGCTGTACTAAGTCGATAACGAAAACTTTGAAATGAAGAAAACGTTAGAACTGATGATGAGTTGTCTTGTATTTTATGATTATCTTGCTGTTATTTAAATCAAACGAGAGTAACCGAATTGAATGGAAGGCTCGTGAATTTTCTAAAGAAGCGGTGTGGCATTCCCTTCGTAAAATATGTTCATTGCTTTCAACGACCCACAATCTGTGTCTATCATGATTTTGCTACTCGATAAAATTCTCCCTTTTACGCAGAGTCGCTCCTTCTCTTAGCTTACATCTTTCTCATCTTTGTCGAAAGCGTTTGATTTGTTCCTTTCTTTTTGAAGGGTTTAACCGAAATAGACTTGAGAGACTTTGGACATGTTTATTTCGGGCAGCTGCTATATTTGCGACTTCAAGCTCTGAAAGGTTTCAGGCGAGAGACTGGGAAAGCTTCTATATTACAAATATACGGCAACATCAATTCCACCGAAAATGGATAAATCAGGTCTTGACAAGCCCCCGTGAAACCAACAAAACCAGTCATATCATCTATGAACTTGGCATTTTATGCTCCTACAATGATCGTCTTCCTGTTTCTAAAGTGACTAACAATTTCTCCTCACCCACGGCAAAAAATTTGACAGATGTGTTCATTACAGTAAAACTACTGATTTCACGCATGCCCATAAAGTGCCTTGCCAGCGATAAAAAAAGGATTATAATTTTATTTCCATTACACACAACAAAAGCTGTTTCCTTTCTGGCCTCACTGATTATAAAAAGATGAGTGTGCAGGTGTACCAAGTAAGAATTAATTCTGATCCGGTATAATTTAATATTTTTCTTTTCCATCTGTCGAGTATTTGTGAATCTGTAGAAATTTAAGGGACAGTTTGAAAGAAAAAACCCCGTAAAACTACTAACATTATAGAGATTAATGTCTGCTACTTGATTAAAGCAGACATCGTTCTATTTGCAAAAACCTTCAGTCACAGCCTACTCAGATACTGTAGAACTCCAATGAGTTCTGCCATATAATGCGATATCAAAGGAGAGCCTCAGATACCAATCGCTTCTTCATGAGTGTTCTTCGCCAAAACCTTGCCAGATATCGATTCAAAATTTTTAGATATAGGAATCATGATCACGTCTTCTGCCATATTTGCGCTCTCACCGGAAAAATTCGCCTCTGTCAAAGACATATTTATCATATATGAGCTGCAAAGCACACTTTTACTCGGGAAGTGAGAATTCCACATCTTTCACTGTCTTTTTCCGAGAAGTGGAAGAGAAAGGGCTACTGATACTGACTTATCCCTGGTGGTGGAATATGCGTCAACCGATTCCAAAGAGAAATACGAGGGTTTATCTCGCTAGGCCGGGGAGCGCCAATGTAACCGTAATAAAAGACCTGATACATGTAACAACATTGTCTGACTCTTCCTTTGCTCTCTAAGACCTGGAAAGAGCAACGGCACTATCCCACCCCTCCCTTCCCTCTAGGACTTGAAACAAGCAGCAGCATTATGTCAAACCTTCCTTCTCCCTCCTCTCAGTGGTTTGAACTTGTGGAATTTATTTACTGAGCTTAAGATCAATCGCTCTGACGCTCAAAACGTAGGCTTTAAAACTCTTTACAGTGGCAAATTTACGTTATCAACTCAGTTGATATAACCAAATAACCTTGTTATACTCTCCCACCGACACAGCAACACAGTTTCTTTAGAAACTTACCCCCTTCATCAATTAAACAAGACAGATAACGTGTCTTTAGTAGGCGCTACCCGCCGCTTGAAAGCTGTCTCCTTTCTCAAGGCTGCAATAATTTGCGGTTAAGTCATATTCCTTCCATAAAATTAATGGTAGCATGAAACCTCGATTATCCTTTTGTAGTGTAGCACAGGACAACTGATGCGTGATTGAACCGTTATCCCACTTCCATACTATCAAAACAACAAAAATGTGCGATACATTTCGTCTTGCAAAATGTCTTTCTTTAGGTATAAAATGAAAACTTTTATTCAAAAGGTTAGTTTTATGGCCTGAGATAGGGTAGGAACTGGAAGGTTAAGAGAATTCATGAAGAAAACAGATAAAATGTGCTTAAAAAATCTCGTAAATCATAGTTGATTTCCAAACTGCTCCTAAAATGAACCCCCCTTGTGGGAAGGCCGGAAATTCGTTGTTACGCGCCATTGAACGTATTTTCGAAAAACATGTTTACCAGACCTTGCCTATTAAAAGTATTTTCGATCAAAAATTGTATCTTAACTTCCTCATGGTGAGTTCGATCACGTCATCAAGTGACGTAACGAAGCTGACTGGTGTTCTTACTCCTGTGACGTAATCTCTGACGTGTCCTATTACGTAGAAGAAGTAGTAAGGTCTTCGGACAGATCTCTGGGGTTCCATTATCAATGGGAACAGCATCGTTATCTGGTGGCTTCACCAGATTGATAATGATGCCCCTTAGCGATCGTGTAATTTCTCCGTCAGATCTAAACAAAGATACTCCTCGATGAGCAAGGGAGTGTGCAGGAAAATTGGTTGGGAAATATGGTTGACTGAGGGCGTTTTCTTTTGAAAACAGTGGAAAGGTGGCAGAAGAATTACCTGGATGTATCAAAAGCTTGACATTAAAAGAGTCCTGCACGGTAATTATGCACAACTAACGATAAAGCTTCCTCTTCATATCCAATGAACAGAGAATGCCCCGTAAACTTATCTTGGAGAGAATAACATTTTAGAGACAAGTAAAACATTTGAGTAATTTGTCTGCAATATATTTGCACATATTAAGAGCGTTCATCAGTTCTACAACCCCTCTGTACAGTTAATCACGTTTTAATTTGCTCGAACTCATGTATGAATATAACAAACAAAAACTTTTACAAAATGGTTTAGAGACAGATGGAAAGTGGACATGAAATTTTCAGGTACAAATCGAAACGTGTTACTGGTGGGAATCGACAAACACGCGTGCAAAGAATCTTTGATCTCTTTAGTTGAACATCACTCTTTTTGCATTCCCAAGGCTGATCGTCTTCAGGGGAGTGAAAAATTTAAACGCCATTCTCTCCAAAAATTCCTTGATGGTCTTTTAAGAGGATAGTTTAGTGTGAAACCAGCAAATATCTCCTGAAAGCCAAATTATCATATTGTTTTCGACGCTTTGCAGTTCTGTCAAAAACACTCTTTTCAAACAACCCGAGCGTGACGTAAACAAGTGCATTTCAAATCATAAAGAAAGTTGACGTTTTTAACTTTTTTCCCCGACAATTAAGCTATATCGAATTCAGGAAACTTATTTTTTGTTACTTAATCTAAATTGTAGTCAATCGGA